GAGCTGTAGAGTGCGGCGATTGTTCTCATTTTGATGTTGTTGCAAAGTTGGCCTTGGCAGTGTATTGCCACCAGTAGAGCTAGTGTGGTCTCATCCCAACAGCCACAAGTGTATTATGACAGTTGATGCAAATCGTCTCTTCTTCTTGTCTGTTGTCGACCGTTGTCCTTTTTGTCGGATCATGGCGATGGTCCGCTGGCGGTTGCGTTCATACATCAGTCGCATGAAGGCATGAGTTTCTCAATCCTTTTTCTTTTACGGTGCTACGATTCCGTTGTAGAAGCAGGGCTTATTGTTATTGTTCAGCAAGGGCATGGTCATGCACGCTTGCTTGGATGGGGTAAGTACCGTTGTGCTCAGACTACAAGTACAAGTGTCATTCTTGTGATTGCACCTCTTCGGTTGTATCGTGAGGGGTAGTGTAGTTTACTTTGGCTATTCGTTATGATTTGTTTTGTAGTTGCTGGTGTTGTTGTTGGTCTTACAACATTCACGTTGAGTCTTTGCCATGACTGTTACAGTTGCAGCTACTACTCCTGCTGCTACTCTCGCTACCACCACCACCACCACAACCACGACGACGACTACTACCACGACTACGGCTACGACTACGGCTACGACTACGACTACGACTACGGCCACGTTTACTTGACGGCTACGACTACGACTAGTACTACTGCTACTGCTACTGCTACTGCTGCTTCTGCTGCTACTACTACTACTGCTACTGCTACTGCTACTACTACCACTACTACTACTACTACTACTACTACTGCTGCTACTACTACTCCTGCTACTACTACTACTACTACTACTACTACTGCTACTGCTACTGCTACTGCTACTGCTACTACTACTACTACTCCTGCTGCTGCTACATCTACTACTACTACTACTACTACTACTACTGCTGCTACATCTACTACTACTACTGCTGCTGCTGCTACTACTACTACTACTACTACTACCACAGCTACTACAACAACTACTACCACAACAACTACTGCTACTCCTACTACTGCTACTACTGCTACCAGTGCTACTACTACTGCTACTGCTACTGCTACTGCTACTGTGTTGATTCCCGGGACCCTCTCCCTGTAAAGTTGAAAGCGGTGGAGCCGGTTTCATGCTGGGATTCTTGATTGTTAAAGGTTTCATGTCTGCAAGTGCGAGCGGATGGCTCAGAGGAACCGTGATCGGCTGAAGCCAGCCTTGAGGGCATGTCGGCAGAAGCCAGCACTTGCAGCTAGCAAGCACAGAGCAGAGACTTCCCAGACTTAAGCTGTGCACAGAAGCGCTTAAGTCGCACTGCCCACGTTGTGTGTTGAAGAGAAAAAGACCTCGACCACGACCACGACCGCCACGACCACGACCACGACCACGACCACGACCACGACCACGACCACGACCACGACCACGACCACCGTCACCACCACCACCACGACCACTACCACGACCGCCACCACGACCACCGCCACGACCACCACGACTATCACCACCACGACTATCACCACCACGACGACCACCACCACCACGACCGCCACCACGACCACCACCACCACCACCACGACGACCACCACCACGACCGCCACCACGACGACCACCACCTCGACGACGACGACGACGACGACGACCACCACCACCACGACGACCACCACGTCCGCCGCCGCCGCCGCCACCGCCACCGTCACCACAGGTTGCTACTGTTTTTCGCAGGGTTTTCAGTTTGTCAAAATCGCCCTAATGTTCACCGCTAGTCGAACAATTACTGTCGTTAATATGCTTTCTAGGTACAGCTCAGTCTTTTTGGGCACCGCCGTTTATGTTGCAGTCATTCTGCAACAAAGAGTGTTTGCCCAGAGTTTTGTTGGCCCTGGGAGGAGGCAGAGGCTCGAGCTGCTGTGACTTTGGCCAACATGACCCGACAAGAGCGCCACAGCCTGATGCAGGCAGCGGGCAAACAACGATTGAATTGGATGTGCTTCTGAAGTTGACTCTATGCAGTGTCCACGCAGCACCTGAGATCTGAGGGAATTGGTTGGATTCCAATGCCTTATGGGTTGCCAGCACCGCTCCCGGCCATTCCAGCCCGTGGTTGCCTTAGCCTTTCAAGCCGGCATTGCGCATAGTTCATTTCGTGTATGATCTTGCGCATAGCGACATCTTGCACTGCTAACTCGTGAGTTGGGCACTACATGGGCAATCTTCCTCCCATCCCTCGTCTTGGTGTGCCGCCGCTGAAGCTCCATGATGCTGGCAACGGCTTCCGGAACATGCCTGGTCCGCAGGGCAAAGCTGGAAGTACGGCCGCTTGTCTGCAAGCAGCCACACTGACGACTCTGGGTTCCGGCAGATGCGATTCAAGGTGTCCGCTAATCTCGCCCGACTCATCCAAAGGTCATGTGGCCCTGCTCACTGGCATTGGGGGCTTCCTGGGATGTGAAGCTGGTGCAGGAGGCTTTGCGACTTCTAGATCCCTTAGGACCAATTGCATGGCAGCGACAAGTTGTGAATTGCGGTTATCGCATATCATCGCTTCCAGGTGGCGGCTGAAATCGGTCGAGAATATCGTGGCAAAGGCTCCAATCTTATCCTGGGCCCAAGCGTTCAGGCGCATATGAGCTTTCACCGTTCCTTCGTAAGGAATTCGGTATGACCTTGTGCCACGCAGCGTCAGCAGTCATGTCGAGTCTGCAATCCAGACTCTGCTGCTGAACGGTGAGAACTGCATCGCAGGTGCAGCGGGTGGCCCGCAATGGCGTGCAACCGAGTCAGTGCGCGCCATGGTCCAGGACACTTGCATGTAGACTAAGGTCGAAACTTCGAGTACATGTCTGGCTTTCTGGCCGCAGTATATTTTTTTGCACATGCATCTCAGCTGACGGTGCCTGTTTGCGACTTCTCAGCCTCTGTCATTCCTGACCCAAGGGGAGGACCCCTACCTTGGCGCAAAGCTTTCTGCAGCCTATGTGAAGGGTGTCCAGGTGGGTGAAGTCATAGTTTGTTGGAAGTCCTAGCTGCCCTAGCTGATTTCAGATCCAGTGAGCTTGCTCAGGGCCAGGGTGTGATGGCCTGCTTGAAGCACTTCGCCTTCAATGAACAGGAGACAAACCGGATGACGGAAAGCTCTGTGGTTGACGAGCGGACTGCTTGGGAGCTCTACTATCCTCCATTTGAGGCTGGCATAGCCGCAGGAGCAGGCTCCGTGATGTGCTCCTACAACCGTGTGAACGGGACCTACGCGTGTGCGAATGAGGAGCTGCTGACCCGTGACTTGAAGCAGAAGATGGGCTTCAAAGGCTTCGTGATGACAGACTGGTGGGCACTCCATGACCCGGCCGAGATGTCGGTAGTGAGGGGCTTGGACATGGAGATGCCGGGGGCAGGTGCCGAAACGTTCTTATTTGCAGACAAGCTCGAGGCTATGGAGGAGCACATGGGCGGTGTATTCAAGGGCTATGCCAATTTGAAAAGAGAAGATTTGTACAAGGAGCCGGCCCGACGAATCTTGACAGCTGCGCACAAGATGCGTTTCTTTGAAGACGTGCCATCTTGCACTCCTGGCCTCGACTGTGCTGGGCCGATCTACTCTGACCAGCGGAGCACTAAGAACCTGGCTTTGGCACGGCGGGCGGTGCGAGAGTCGATTGTGCTTCTGCAGAATAAAGGAAGTCTTCTTCCACTGACGGCGAATGCAAAGCTAGCTCTGATCGGCGAAGCTTGGGTGGCTCCGAGTCGGAGCACGGAGGAGCTGGGCATGTTTGGCGACTACTACAGTGGCGGTGGATCAGGGCACTGCTACCTCCCAGCAGACAGGTTCAAAACTCCCCATATGACCGTCACAGCGTACACAGATGCCCATGACATCTACACCACCAGCTCCCTGAGCAATAATGTCACCGAGGCATTGTCTGTGGTGTGGGAGGCGGACATCATAGTCGTCCTTGCTGCGACAACAGCTGAAGAAAGCCGAGATCGTCCATCTCTGCATCTAGACAATGGGGCTGACGAGCTGGTCGATGCTTTGTCGAAGGTGGGTAAGCCCATAGTGGTTCTCGTGCAAGCTCCTGGAACCGTGGTCTTGCCCTGGCGAGAGGCCGTCGACGCAGTTGCTCTCATGTTCCTTGGGGGAGAGTTCACCGGAGCCGGATGGGCCAGGCTGCTGTTCGGAGAAGTCTCCCCATCAGGAAAGCTCCCACTCATGATTCCGAAGCATGAGAAGTACACGATCGAGCCTGGACAAGAGCCTGACGTAGTGTATGGTGAAGGCCTTTTCACTTCCTACCGGGCGCCTTCTGCATCGGAAGCAGCAGCGTTCCCTTTCGGGCATGGTTTGTCCTTCACCGAGTTTGCAATTGCTGCACCAGAGCCGTACGAATGCGGGATGCCTCTTTGCGTGTCGTTAACGGTGACCAACATCGGGACAAGATTCCCTGGTGCAGAGGTGGTGCAAGCATATTTCGAGCAACACGCCCGCAAAAAGCCACAGGGATTTGCCCGAAGGTTCTGGCAAGAAGAGGTCCGAAAGGCTCTACAGTTTTTCTGCAACAAAGTAAGTAGAGCCTAAAGTTGTTTGTGTCGTTTGTCTCAGTCTCTGGAAGTTTCCGAGGTTTCCACCCGAGGCTCAGGAGCCGAGGCTGTTGCTGAAGGGCTTTCACAAGACCGCAGTCTTGAAGCCAGGGGAGTCCGAGAAGGTCGAGCTGAGCTTCACGGTGCGGGATTTCTCCATCTACTCCACTGCACTGGGTGATTGGGTCCTGCAGCCCAGTGTCCGGATCCATTTGGGCGTCTCTAGCGCTGACTTGCGGCACTCCCTTGATGTGCCACTTGCGACTTCCTAGCTGCCTGCCCTTTCGATAATCTCTGGCAGCGAGGGCCTCTCGATGGCCCTCTTGTGGCAAGCGCCCACGGCAAGCGCAAGTGGACCACTACCGCTACGGCATGATTTCAGCAACAGGGCGCAAGAGCTACCCGGCAGTGCAGATCAAGATCGGTGAGCTGGCACGGAGACTTTTGGACAACTTCCAGTCGGCGATGGTGGAGTTCGTGTAAACAGTTGCTCCGAAAGTCAGTGCTCCAGCTTCTGTGCTACAGCAGTTATTGAAACGTTGGCAGTTCTACCGAGCACATTCGCCCGTGCCCCAAGGCTTTCTGGATCAGAGTAGCAGCATCTGGATGAGTCAGACGTAGCAAGTGTCTGTTGCCTCACCAGCGTGTGGTTAGAGATAGGCAGAGCCCCCAAGAGCCCCCAGCCCGAGCCCATTTGCCAGGCCTTAGACTTTCGAGGGTTCAGTGGCCATGCCATCTGACAGCCCAAGGCCAGGCAGACAGTCGGACGAGAGAATCTGTCGCAGATGCGAAGCAAACATACCTCATAAAGTCTCCTGCTTTGTTGAGCTTCTGGATGCGGTCAGCGTCGGTTTGAGGGAGAATTGCTGCCTGGTGCAGACCCTAATTCCTGCCTCACGAGGGCCTTTGACTTTTGACTTAAAGCTCCGTCGCAATTTGCATTGCCTTGCAAGTTTTTCAAAGTGCTGACAAAGTCTCTTTGTGCCGAGGTCGTGCGCGGTTTACAACTTATGTGTGCCGCAAGACTCATCGGAGCTTGCGGCGCTGCAGCCAATACTCTTGATAAGCAAAGCGACAAAAATGAGCGAACCATGGCACCACGCGGCACAGTGCCTGAGCTGCCTTTGACAACATTCCAAAATCTCCGTTTGTAACAGGACGCGGCCTTGTTGTGTGGCAGTTTCTGTGGTGGTAGGTGTGCTTGTAAAGGCGACTTTGCCACAGAAGGGCATGCCTCCATTTCCAAGCTATCTGTATTTTTCTTCTGCACCGGCGAATCTCGTAAATGTGTACAACCAGCACTATCACCACGACGGCCGTGACGATGCCGTCGTCGTCGTCGTCTCTGTTGACATCGCCGTCGCCGTCATCGTGGTTACCACCGTCATCGCCACCATCACCACCACCATCACCACCATCACCGCGATCACCACTTCTACCCCTGTCACCATCGTCACCACCACCATGACCAGCATCACCATCAAGTCGGACCATGTCTCATGGACTATTGCACGGCTTCGTCATTCAGCGTTGTTGCGCAATCTTGCCGTCGCCGCTTCAACAGCGGAAGCGAGCTTGCAGGAGCGGTACACCGCCAGCCAAGAGGCAATGTGTGGAGGAGATAGACCGGCACACCAAGCAGTGTGGCGTTTTAAATGCCGAGTGCTGCAGTTGTACCCACTTCGAGGAAACAAGTACATCGTTGCATGAAGCCTCGGAAAGAAGCTTCAACCTAAAGTCTGACTCCTCACGATGGCAGGAGACAAGGCCGAAATCGAGAAGCCAGTGCTTGACCAACGTCGAGCAGGCCTTGCAACTTCTTATTCTGGCGCTGAGGGACCGGGAGCTTTCGTGAGCTTGTGTGCTCAGGCAGTGGACCAGCTAGACGTTTCAGAGACGGGCCGTGAGATGCTCTGAGCTTATGCACTGTCGCAGCCATGGAAGACTGAAGATGCAACTGCACTGCTGGCTCCGAGCCGTTCAAACCAGGCTTCGTCTCCTCGTAAAGAGTAGCTATGGCTGCCCCGTCAAGGCAGTGTACCGTGAGACGGTTCGGGTGTTGCCTGCGCGAAGCTCGGCTGGTTGCGTCAGGAGCGACATCGATACCAGGATGCAGCAGCACGGCTTGTGGAGGAGGAAGCCTCTGCAACATCTTACACTCTCCCGCATTGTTCCTTCGACTGCCGCAGATTGCTGCAGGCCTTTCAAGATGAAGAGGAGGTTCTTCAAGCGCGCAGCCGGGAAGCGGCTGACAAGGCTTGGGCGCAGGTGAAGCATGAAGCAGTGGAGCTGTTGTACAGTGTTATGACAACAACTGTTCGAGGCGGAAAAATACAGAAGTGATGCGCAGGCAGCTGGGTCTGACGTCTTGGAGGATCTCGCTCCGTTACATGGCCTAAACAATCCAGCATCAGGAACGAGCAGGCAAGCTGCGAACTTCCAAGGAGGTCCGGACACCTGGCAAGCTTTCGCCATTCACTGTTAATCTCCTCACAGTCAGGGCTTCACTGCAACGATCTCCGCTTTTCGCGCGGCGAAGGCCTTGAATGCCTTCACACACTTTGGCCAGCGTTCTTGCGTTGGTGCCACAGGAAGCCTTCCTGGCAGACAACCAGATCTTGCAGCAGCGCCGCAGAGCTCTGGACCAGTCCGGGCAGGCGTCCCATCTCGTCCAAAAATCTCCCAGACATATCCCTGATACGCGCGCAGGAATTGCGCCGATGCCAGGCCAAGCTGAGGGAGGCCCCAGCCACATCAAAGCCCTGCACTTCGACCTTGACTCGTTCGAGGCAACCGGTTGCAAGGACCAGCTGCAGCAGGCTCTGGCGGTGTCGGGGTGCCCGGCCCCTCGGTTTCTGCCTCCATGGCCGCTGGTTTCGCCTCCAAGGCTGCCTGGCATCCTGGAGGGCACAGCGAAGAGCTCAGAATGCAGGCCGAGAGGTGAAAGCAGCGATCCGCTTGCGAGGCCCGAGACGAGACGGTTAGTGCGTTGCTGGCGTGGGCCCCTGCCCTGCCATGATGAAGAGCAACGTCGAGTGCAAGCCAAAGCGGCAGGGCGAAGTGGCCTTGGAAGACTCCCTGAAGACGGCAGCTTTGTCATCCCTGAAGCTGCCTGCAGAGGTGCGAGGGAAGGTGCTCAGGGATCGCATTCGGTTGGGGAAATTTTTCAGCGCCAGGCCCGAGGAAGCTTCGACAAGGCCGTCCTGGAACAGCTCCACGGAGCCCTCTCAAGGCTTCTAGAGGCACAGGGACAGACGGGCAACGGGTGGATGCCACAGTCTTGCCTTCGGCAGGCCTTGCCCGCAGCAGAAGCTGAGCAGTTGGCTGTCGAGGCACAGCGACAGACAGCGCCGCACAGCCACACGCGAATGCCGCGAGCGGAGCGGGCTGACAGGAGGCTCGTGTATTGGAGGAGGCTTCCGCGTCTGCCTTTGCTCAGGCCGGGTCCGGGTCACGCTGTTTTTGTGAGTGAAGAGGATATCGGAAAACGACGGGCGAAATCAACTAAACAAAATCGGAAAACCCAGAGGGCGTTTTCCGAAAAAGCCCGTTCAAACACACAGACCCAGAATCAGAAAACAGCGACGACGATATCAGAAAACAAGCCCAGAATCAGAAAACAGAATCGGAAAACAGAAAAGATTAAATCAGAAAACGGATGTAACCAAAAGCTCAGAAAACCAAGCAAAATAAAACGTCCCTATACGACCCTAAGCCTTAAACCCATCCTCACTTTATTATCGTTCACAAATCTGCATCGGATCCACTTCGTCAGAAGTGCCTATCGCAGTTAACCGCATCGGATGAACATTCTCAGATGAGAAATACTCATCTTGCATGTATGGAAAGTAGACATCTTGGAATGCTCGTAAAAAATGGGTAAATTCATTTTGGTTGACAACGACTTTTCCATAATCGTTAAGAAATCTGCATCGGATCCACTTCGTCAGAAGTGCCTATCGCAGTGAACCGCATCGGATGAACTTTCTCAGATGAGAAATACTCATCTTGCCTGTATGAAAAGTGTACGTATATGTCATATATATATATATATATACATGTATATATATATATATGGTCAGCCCCCCCCCCCATGATCTACCGCCGT